AAAAAAAAAAAAAAAAAAAAAAAAAAAAAAAAAGGGATACTACTAATAATAGTATACCTATCCCATAGAGTTATTTCGAGGATTACATGAGAAATTTTATAAAAAGCTTAGAACAATTCCTCGTCTATAGAAAACACTAAAGTCCGTGTGTTCTTTCAGACCTTTTAATGTTCATTTATGTATGTACGTATATTTCATAAAAACAGGATTAACCTGGACATATTATTTTATTTATTTATTTTTATTTTTATTTATTTATTTTTTGAGACGGAGTTTCGCTCTTGTTACCCAGGCTGGAGTGCAATGGTACGATCTTGGCTCACCACAGCCTCTGCCTCCTAGGTTCAAGCAATTCTCCTGCCTCAGCCTCCCGAGTAGCTGGGACTACAGGCGCGCGCCACCATGCCCAGCTAATTTTTGTATTTTTAGTAGAGACGGGGTTTCACCTCGATCTCTTGACCTCGTGATCTACCCGCCTCAGCCTCCCAAAGTGCTGGGATTATAGGCTCGAGCCACCGCGCCCAGCTAATATATTATTTTATAACTGACCTTTATGTGGTCAACCTCTGTATATATATTTTTTTGTTAATTTTTTTTAATAGAGATAATGTCTCACTATGTTGCCCAGGCTGAGCTCAAGTGATCCTCCACCTCTGCCTTCCTAAGTGCTAGGATTATAGATGTAAGCCACTGCACCTCTGTATATATTAATAAATATACTTTTCATCATGTTTAATAAGTGCATAATATTCCAGTATGTGAGTTTACCGTAATATATTTAACTTAGTATTGGTCATCTAGATTGTATTATAAACAACATGATGAACATCTTGAACATAAATCTTTGTGCATATTTTTATTTTTTTTAGGTGGGTTTTTTTAAACTTTAACAATAATGTTATTCTGCTGAACATTATCATCCCGAGTAGATACTTATTGATAGTAACAATAATACTTTATTTAATCAAATATAAATGCTACTGATTATAGAGGCACCATTGTTTACCATTGTTTTATGATCATTAAGAAAGAAAAAACACTGCTAGTTACACTATGATATACCACTGAATCTAAGTGAAATATACTGTATCAATTTCAGAGTGAGGAAATGCATCTTAGAATCAGTGAAATACCAGTACATAATCTGTTCCGTCTTTCCAATACATGATGGCATTTCTTGAATCAGACTGTCATGTAGCCTGTGAGGTAGGCAGCCAAGCAGCAGAGCAATGACCTTTATAAGCGCTCACATAAGCAACAAACCAAAGGACAGTTAATCCATTGGTCAGGCAGGTTACCAAGTGTTGACTCTTTGCAGACTGCTTCATGCGCTAGGAGCTAGGGACTTCAATTAATACCCCAGGTTTCTTTTCAGGAGCAGCATAAATTTCCAATCAACATTGCAGCCATGCCTCCCTCCCAGCCCTCATCCCCACCTAAAAAGAAAAAAGGAGCCCATCTGTTGTTTTTACCAACTCATTTTCTTCTGTTTTATCTGTAGTCTCCAAGGATCTCCTTCCCTTGACTGTCATGTTTGACATGGTGTCTGCTGTGTAATTTCAGGTACAGAATGAGCCCTGGAACATTTCTATTTCAGCAGAATATATTGCCCAGGTGAAAGGGATCTCAGTGGAAGAAGTTATAGAAGTAACAACACAGAATACATTAAAACTGTTTCCTAAGCTCCCACACTTGCTCCAGAAATAGCTTCAAAACCATACATTACAAAATGGAATCAACTGCAGGGGGCAGCATTTGAAAAATAAAAATGTTCTGATGAAGAATCTGAACTCAAGAAGCTGTTTTATAGGGTTTTAGAATATTTTAATTGTAGAGAAATATTTCTTTTAGAAAGAAAACTGGGCTTAGATCCTGAAATCCTGGGTTCTGATTCTAGCCTTATGCTGCTTTTCAGTTAGCCGAGTTCTGGCGGGATATTGAGAAAATACTGCTACTTCTTACATTGCCCTATTACACAGAACCACCATCTGAACTGAAACCACTGCTTCTGGAAGGGTGGCTCCCACAGGAAGAGCATAAGCACTACTGTGATGAGGATGGAGTTGGCTAAAGTGTGGGCTTACCACCTGTTTTTCTTCCCATTGGATTTAGCCAGTCAAGGGAGAGTGTCTGGTGTTCTGTGCTATCAGAAATCTCTTTTCTAGGTTTGTAAAATTGAACTTTTAATACTTTGAGTTATTACTCTTTAAGATAAAAATGCATAAGGATTTTACACTGATCTTAGATTTTTGACTTATGAGGTCAGTGGCTTGAACAATCATTATTAAATACAAAGCCCAAAAGTTTAGCTAATATACCAATTTTAAGTTCTGGTATGAATTTTGTCAACATATTTAGAATGTAAATGACATTGTTAAAAATGTGTCTGACTTCCTTGTGAACAGTAATATTTTGTATTTTTAAGTTTAAAATGTTAGTATAAGCCAAGCACAGTGGTATGCACCTGTAGTGCCAGTTACTCAGGAGGCTGAGATGGGAGGACCCCTTAAGCCTCAGTTTTAGTCCAGGCAACCTAGTGAGATGTGAGAACCTGTCTCTAAAAAAGTACATAAATAAAAATCTCAAAAAAATAAAAATCTCGGGTGTAAAAACAGTTCTGCAGATAGATGGTAGTGATGGTAGCACAACAATGTGAAGGTATTTAATGCCACTGAACTGTACACTCATAAAGAATGAAGATGATACATTTTATGTGTATTTTACTATAATTTTTTTTAAATCTTATATGTAGTTCAACAGGTGTGGTCCATGGCAAAACTTAGGTATTTAATCTTTTTATATAAGCAGAAAATGCTGGAAAAAGTACCTGTCATAGAAAAAATAAACTTCTTAAATCAAAGTGATTTTATGTAATCACTTTGAAATGATTCAATAAGTATTTTGAAATGAATTCATTCAGAAGAATCAAAAGTAGGGCAGATTGTCCAAACCAGAGTAAGTAACAGAATAGGGTGTTTTCCCATTAGCACCATTATAAATGAAATTCCTACATTTAACAGGAGGTTATATTAAAACCAGACCTTTTTTTTTTTTTTTTTT